GCACTGGCTTTGGCTTCAGCTGCTGCTCTGAGCCTGACTCCCGCTGCCTGAGAGACTCTGATGTGGACTTCGGATTAGATCCTCCCTGCCTGGAGTAAAGACAGCGACTAGTTTAATGTTGACCTGTGCACACACATAGAGAAAGCTGCTTGCATTACCTATTGTGAGAGATTTCACATAGAGAACACTTGCCTGCATTTTATGTTAATGAGGTTTGCACACACATTCAGCTCAGAGCCTTATGGGAAAGAGAAGCACATTTTAGTCATTGTTAGCAGAAACGACAACTAAGGAGAAGAAATCCCCCATTGCTGAAGGACTCGATGTCACACAGTACTTGGATCTAATCTGCATCTGAATTGCCATTTCCTGGTGGAGGTGCCTGGAGTACTTGGGAAAGCTGGTATCGATCTGCATATCAAGGAAGGTCCAGGAAGCCAAGACTTCACACCTGACCAGATGGCTTTCCATGAGTTAGAGTTTAGAGTTTCAAATATTGTCCACACCCCTAAGGTGCTGTCCCTTACTACACGCACCAATGAGATATAGGGATGGGACGGACTACAGATAGGTGGGTCTACAGCTTGGCAAGGCCACCCGAAGTTTTCACTATAAAACGCGAGGACCAAACGTTGGGTCTTTGCTAGCCAATCCCCTTTCAACATCCGCTGTCTTCTTTTATCCCCTAAAGTCCAGCTTACTATCAAATAACCCTATTGTCTAATCTTGATCTCTTGGACTGCAGCCAAAGAGGTCCATGCCCTGCTGGCTGGTTCTAGCAGAGTGTGAATAAGTAAATACCCCTAGGTACTCTTTTCATACCCTCCAATTGTTCATTGCATCAGACAAGGCTTTAGGAAAGATAAGTATGAACGTAAACCTACCTACCTCCTAAGTAAAAGGGAAGCTATTTTTATATTTCTGTAACTCTAAAGGAACTTGATTGTGTGTGAGTGTGATTCTGTTTTGTATGTATGTGATTTTAATATTATTCAGTAAAAGACAAATTGCTTTGAATTTAACAGTCTCGTCTCTTTCACTGGGACCTACCTGGGGTGGATTCGGACCTCCGTAAACTTTGGCAAAAACTCACGTTAAATTTAGTTGCCATCTGTTGTAGATAAAGCAGTCTGGCTAACAGAGATTGGTGCCCCGTGTGAGGCTTGCCCCGAACGGGAGTGGGAATAAGCGAGTCGACACGCTGTTTCCTGCCTCGCTCGGACGTAGAGGAATGGTCTACTCCTAGAGTCCAGTGGAGGACTGTATGAACGGTTTCTGTCTGCGTGAATGGCTCCTTAGAAGAGCACTCTATCACGGGAGGTTTTCCTTTTTTTTTCCATCTATCCCTGGAGCAATCCCGCGCTGCGCTCCCCGTCTATGTGGGTGGAAGCCGGAACGAAACGAAAGGGGTAGGAACGAGAGGGAAGACCCCCAGTGTTTGCACCAAGCACAACATACACGTAGGCACACACACCCCACCTTTCTTTTTGAGTGCAGCATCACTCTCTGTTGGCTCTGTAAACGGAGCTACATTGTGGTGAGAGGTACCCACGTCAGACACGCTGTCTGCAAAACCTCCTGTAAAAAGAGTTAGAGGGAAATCTCGGTAGAAGGGTGCGACGCCCCCGAAAACCTCAAAAATGAGTTAGAGGTAAATCTCGATTTAGGGTGCGATGCACTACCAATAGAGGGGTGCAATGCCCCCAAAACCTCAAAACCTGGTTGGCAGTAACCCAGGGAGATAAGTGTGGATTTGATCACCCGCACTCTCGAAACCGGCCAAAAATAGGTTCAAGAGGTTGCCTTGGGTGCCACATGTGGGCGGGCATCCAAAACGTTTGGGGTTCAAGACCCTAGGCGGACAGGCTGCCGAGGAGCCCTCCAACCTAAAATTCTAAGGTTCAGGACAATTGCCTTGGCAGGAAAGGCCACAGAGGAGCCATCCAGCCTAAACCCAGGTTCCAGACGTGCCCTGGGGGGTGAGGAAGACCCGCCCTAAACTCAAGCGAAAATTGTCCAGGCGGATAGGCCGCAGAGGAGCCCTCCGACCTGAAACTAAAGGTTCAGAAAGAGCCAGGATTTGGGGCGCACGAGAGGGAGAGTTCTCCCCCCCATTTCTAAGCTATAAATAGGGTTCATAGGTTGGCCCTGGAACAGTGGATCAAGGAATCCCGTTCCCGAAACCTTTCAGGTGAGCAAAATCATCAAGAAATGAACCCTGCACTTCGTGAGTAGGTTACACATTCGTTGTGCCCCTGATCGCGAACTGCAAGTGTGCGCGCATGCGTTGGTTTCCTCCCCTCCTCAAGTCTGAGGAGACTTGGAAGCAGGGATTTGGGATGGAGGCACTGAGGAGGCTGTTTGCCCTCGGTGCATCTACCCCTGATCAGTCTGCCAACATTGATCCGCTCGCGTTGGAGGACCACCCTCGATTGTGAGACTTTGTCTCCTTTGGGGACCCGCTCTTCCTGCCCATGGCGGCTTGGTTGTTGCGCTTTATTTTGGGCTGAGTTGCCTACAGGCATCAGGTAGAGAAAATGAGGACCAACTGGAAAAGAGAGCTGGACAAAATTAGGAAATTAGCCGCCACTCAAGCAGCCACCCTAGTGGACCGTGCTAATGAGATTTAAAAATTACAGACAAATCATGAAAACCAGCTCAAAACGACAAGGGCAGAATACGCTGGTGGAAGGTCAGATTTAAAAGCAGCACATGAAAGAGATCTTAAGTTAGTGAGAGAACGACATTTGTGAGAGCTAGAATTCTAAGGAAAGCACACAAAGTTGAGATGGAAAAATAGACAGAATCGGAAAGACAGAGATCTGAACTCGTTTGTGGTTTTGATTCACAAAGCGGCTACTATCAAAGAGCATAGAACGGACCATACCAAGGGCCCCCTGCTTATCAGGGCACCCACGACCCACTGCAGGGCTTCCAGCCTTCCCCCTTCTACTCAGGAGGACAAGCCTTTCAGGGCGACCAAGGGCGGGACCACAGCAGAGGCGGCCCCCAAATCAGAGGGGACCCTCTCTGCTGGCATGCCTGGATGAAACTTGGGGAGAGAGGTTACAATGGCAAATGAGTTGTCTGTACAAGGGGGATTTGTGTTTCTTAAATCACAGTCTCTTAAACCTCAATGACAAACCCACTTTTGAAAATGAGGAGATTTTCAAAAGCAGCTTGTGATGTGGCATGGGATGTTGCTGCTCAAAATTATACCTAAAGTAGCGTTTTTTAAATCTTAGGCAATGTTTTTTGCCTAAATAACTATGCTGAAATTTAACAAATATATTACTAATTCCAGTGAGATTTCAAACACAAGCAAATGATCATCTTTTTAGAGAATTTTCAGTGGTGATGATATTCGTCTAAAAGGCAGTTTCATACTCACTAAGGATCTTAGCTAGTTTCATGTATCCAGTGGGTTCTTCAACAGCAGCCCCATTATGCTGCATGGTGTACCATTTTAGAATATATGGGGACTTTGAAAAGCAGACTGTGATATGGCATTTTTTTTCATTTTCTAATCAGGTACTATCTCTCTAAAGAGAAAAAGAATACCACTGTTCCATTTTATTGTTTTATTTTAACACACCGTTAATATTCAGGGAAATCTGTATAATAAAATTCAGGTAAAACTGGAGACAAGACGATACATGACCACATAAGCACATCAAGCATGGTAAGGAAAAGCATGTGAAAGGGGAAACTATGAAGCTGGTCAGTATTTCCAGTGCAGCTTCTACATTTAATTATGGATCTTTAAACAAAAAAAATAAATAAATTACCATTTAGGTTTTCCAACATTAATGTTTTATTAATATGAACAGTAGTTCATATTTAATGTGCAAGTTATAAGCACATAATTATTTAGAGTATGACTTATTTCATGAATGAAATCTACACATGGCATAAATTAAAAGCCAGGGATGCAGAGCACTGTTTGCATTTTTTTCAGTAGTATGTGCAGGAGGGGGAAAGGCATTTTAATTCAAAAGCCCAATCAAACAAAAGTTAGTCATGACTAAGGCTGCAATCCTAACTGCACTTACTCAAAAGCAAATTCCACTGAAGAGAAAGCAGATTACCTTTGAGTAAATATGAATAAAATTGGGCTGCAAATCATTAAGAAACAAGACAAGGTTCAAAATCAGATTTAAACTTAGGGTTGCCAAGTCACGGTGGGGGATCATGTGTCTTTGCAGAATCTGTGCCGCAGTAACGGCAAGAAGCGTTGCACCGCCATCGCCAGGACATGACGCTACGTGTTGCTCTGGCAACGGGGCTCCAAACAGCCCCGTTGCCAGAGCGACGCATAGTGTCATGTCCTGGCAACGGCGGTGCAACATGTCTTGCCGTCCCCGCGGCACGGATTCTGCAAAGACATGCGGATCCCCCACCGTGATTTGGTGAGATTTGGGAGCCCTATTTAAACTGCAGAACCATGCAAGTTTACTCAGATCCCATAATATTTAGTGGGGCTTACAGCAGGTAAATGCACAGGTTTGCAGCCTTAATCACTTGTAGTTGTTGTCAGATTGGGGCTAAAATGAATAATTCACATGATACTGGTGCATCTGAAAGGAAAAGAAGACATTACGGTTGGTGAAAGTTACCTGGTGTTTTGTGCCGTTTCTGGCACAGCAGCATGCAACTGGTTTAGCATGCATCCAGCAATGCACAAAAAAATAAATTATTTGTAACAAATAGAAAATAAAAATACAGACCATTAGCTTGTAATAACACTTTTTTAAAGGCATGCAGAAAATACACAATGCAGTTAATGTTTCATGCAAGCTCTGGTGTAATTACAATTTTACATTCTGCCACATGCTAAGAAAAAAAGAGAGTGAATTTATTTGATTCCATTTAGAGGGAAAACATGTAGACTTAGGTACAGCCCTAGCTAGTAAATAATTTAAACATGACCTAAACAGTAAACATTTATTTTGAACATCCACATTGTATGGGAGAAGATATTTACTTTAATCTTTATTTAATCATACACAACCATACTCATACCAAACAGTCTGGGTATCTTCAGAAAGTGGTAATGGTGATTTACTCTCACTTGTGTTTTCATGTGCAAGGGCAGTACATTCACTATTATTCTGAGTCACTTCTAAATTTCTGTCATCAGATTGATTCTCAGAAGGTAGTTTATGATCCTTCTGTGCAGCTTTCACTGATGACCCAGAAGTTGTATTGTTTGCTTTTGATACAGGCCTTTCAGGCAATCCACTTACACTGCTGACTAATTCAGCATTAAGTGACAAAAATGGCCTGGATGAACAGACTACAGAGAATTTCACTACACTGCTTATTGATGGGCATACCTTTTCACTGTACATGCTACCACAAGAGAGTGTTTTAGTGTTTGAATTTGTCTTGGTGGTCCTTGAATTCTGCTCTTCTGATTCATGAGCAGAATAATCTAACATAGCTATACTACCTAAATCATTTTCTGACAGGGTAACTGTAGTGTAAGGTTTATAATGAAAAACACAAAAGGACTGTTTTGGAAGACTGTACTCACTAGAAGCTGATGGGATGCTTCTGTCAACTGTCGGTGGAGATGGGTCAATTGAAATTGGCTGTCTAGGATCTTTTGATAAAAAGTCATGGATGCTTGTTCTCCGAGTAGTTCCTTCAGCTGTAGAAATTACATTGCTTGCACGAGGTAAAGTAGCGTAAGGGTTACAATCTTTTGATTGTCGTTGTGATAGGCTCATTTGTATGGTTTCCTTAACAGACTTGGTCTTGCCTCTAGTCCCTGCTGTAAGTGTTTTTGAAGAGTTCAAGAAGTTGGGATCTTCCATTCTCTGTGTATTGGATCTTGCAAGGTGATCCTGTTTCACTAATTTTCCATCAGAGAAGTCAGATGTGTTTTTCACACTCTGCGATCTGGCGATACCACTGCTGACTGACGAGTGTTTCCTTAGTTTATCTCTTCCTGCTAATTCAGCATTTTCAGAGAAAATTTTCATTACTTCATCCAGCAGATTCTCTTGGGTAGAGGATTTGATCTGTAAAACACATCCAAAACAACTTATTCTGTGCTTAGTTTTATTTTTCAGAATGCAAATAAGAATTCTAGAAACTCCTGTAGCATAAACTTGTAAAACTATTAGGGGTGTGCATTCCACATAAACCAAGCCAAAAAATACCCCCAAAGTACTTTATTGGTATTTTTTGGTTAATTTCTCAGCCAAATACAGATTAGAGAATCTTTTAGGCAACCAGTACAAATGATACTGAAAAAAAGCCAAAATTATTCAGCTTTTATTTGGCTTTATTCAGCTATACCAAATAGCTGCTGGGGAAGAGGTTTAAACTTTAAAGGGCCACAAAGTTACCTTTCACTTCTCTCCTCTACAGCTCTTTTTTGCCTTTTGCTCTGGTTTCCAGGGCAACAAGAGGGAGGGAAAAGATGCATCTCAGCAGTCCAATGGCAAAAGCATCTTGGGGGAGCTGTAGTGCCTTACAGCCAATCACTGCAATGCATTTGCAAATGGCATTGCATTGCAAGTTTACAACTTTGCAAGGCTGCTGCTGGCTTAACATGTGAAGTCCAGCTTGCTTTCCCCACCTATTTCCCAGGGAACAGGAGGGAGGGGGCAAAAAAAAAAGCAAGGGTCTGGCTGAGCTAGACTAAATTACTGAGAGAAGTCAGGAGAGTGTGCACTGGCTTTGGCTTCAGCTGCTGCTCTGAGCCTGACTCCTGCTGCCTGAGAGACTGTGGACTTTGGATCAGACCCTGCCTGCCTGGAGTGAAGACGGCGACTGGTTTAACTGAACAACATTTTATAAAAAGTTTTCTTATTTTACTATTAGTTGTTCTTTGGGCTTGGTGGGGGGTTGTGGGGGGAGCGGGGTTAGAGGCCAAGGGCCTCAGGCCTTTTTTGTTGTTGTTCCCTTTGGTTTCATTCTTCGGTTTTAGTTCCTTCTGGTTTTGTGGCTTAAGTTTGGACGTTTTTGTCACTTTAGTTGTTGTTGTTTGGGCTTGGTGATTGTGTGTGTATGTTCCCTCTAAGCTGTGGAGTCTTGTGAGCAAAAATTCTACTTTGTGAGCTCTTGGCATTAAAGTTGTGAGTGAGCGATTTGGCTGCTGCATAAATCAGTTTGCTCTGGAGCCATCCTCCCTGAGCTGAGACAAAAATGTGTGAGCCAGAGGCTAAAAAACTGTGAGCTAGCTCACACTAACTCAGCTTAGAGGAAACACTGGTGAGGGGGGTGAGGCCAAGGGCCTCAGGCCTTGTTTTGGTTCCTTTGGTTATTTCTTAGGTTTTAGTTCCTTCTGGTTTTATGGGGTTTTTGTGGAGTTCTATTGTTGTTTGGGCCTGGGGAGGTCAAGGGTTCCTTCTCTCTGCTTTCGTTCTTTGCTATGGTTCTTTGGTTTAAAACTTGCTTTTGGTTTAAAACTTGCTCCCCCCTTTTCTTTTTTTTGGTCTGGGGTGTGTGGAGGCTGGTTTAGGTTCTTCTTCTGGGGGGTGTGGAGGCTGGTTTAGGTTCTTCTTGCTTTCTCTTTAAGTGCTTTCCCCCACCTTGTCCTCCAGGAGTTCTCCCCCCAGTATTTTTTCCCTTTATTTTCTAGAAAATTGTTTTTTGGGTGGAGGGGGCACTGAGGCTCACTGTTCTGTGTTCCACATGTGTGCTTCTGGTTTCAAGGGCTATTGAGTACAATATTAAAAAAGGGAAAGGTTCCCTTGCTCGAAAGCCAGTCGAATCCGACTCTAGGGTTGCGGTGCTCATCTCCGTTTCAAACCCGAAGAGCCAGCACTGTCCAAAGACATTCCCGTGGTCATGTGGCTGGCATGACTAAACACCAAGGCGCATGGAACGCTGTCACCTTCCCAACCAAAATGGCACCTATTTATCTACTTGCAATTTCTTGCTTTCGAACTGCTAGGTTGGCAGGCGCTGGAACTAGAGATGGGAGCTCACTCCGTCATGTGGCACACTCGAGTCTCGAACTGCCGAACTACCGACCTTCCACAGCCTGCAGTTCAGCGTCTTAACTACTTGAGCTACCGCAGCTCCTCATACAATACTTAGGTGTTGCTAAATAGGCTTTTAGTAATAAGGCTCTGTTTTAGGAACTGTTTAATTTTTAAACACTTTTAATTAAATTTCAGCATAGGGCTTTAGTTCCTCCCTAACTACGCCAGTGTTAGGAGGATATTAAAAGAGGCAGAGGTGTGTGTGTCTTCAAAACAGTGGTATAATGCCTAGAGTAGCCTTTTAAAAAGCAGTGTGCAGTGCTCTGAGCTTCCCTTCAGGTTATCCTGTAGTTTTTCAAATTTCAGGAGGGAGCTCCTGCATTTCCATAAAGGAAATCAGTCTTGTTCCAATAGAATTTAGTCAGGAGAAGTTTAATAAAGAGGCTTAAACTTTTAAAACTTTTTAAAAGGTTTGCTATTCCATCTCAAGGATACCTAGTCAGGTTTCAGTACAGGAAATCACTCATTTTAAAAAACTTTAAAAAACACAACTCAAAAACAAAAAAGAAAGAAAACAACAATTGAAGCAAGGGTAGGTTAGACTCTTTGGAAAGATACAAAACTAGTTTTTGGGTGGGAGGGTTCATAAAAAATATGTCCGACGGTTAGGTTCAGATTGTAGTATAGGTAGTTAGGTGCATAATACCTTCCCCACATGATCATTGTATATTTAAAATTTGTGGGCTTTATGATGTTTTTTCTTTTTTAATCTATGCCAATAAAGGTTTTGACTGTGACCTTCCCTACAAGTACTACGTAGTTAGAAAGAGTTTGGCCTGGGGTAACAACGAACAGTAGGAAGGGAATGCAGCAGGGCCCTGGGGGCAACTAGAGGGGTTGAGGTGAGACAGAGGGTTGCAGCTTTCCCCCCACCTGTGTGGAGGATTGCTCCACAGCTGTCTTCCACCACTCTGTCCTTTGGCCGGAGTGGTGCAGTGAAGAAGTCATGCAAGGTTCTTTTCATTGAGGCTGCTGCTGGGGAGCCCCCCGCAAAGGTGCCCACAGGTGCTGGCACTGGGCTGCTGCTATGGCAGCCCCTCCTCCAGCTGTTGTTGCTGAGGCTTAGCAGCAGAAAAGTACTTCAACTGAAGTACTTCAATTGAAGTCCACATGATGGTGTTGGCTTTCTTTTTTCCAAATTCTGCCAGCCCCAACCTTTGCTCACAACCCTATTCCATTGCTTCTCAGCCTCTGAAGTCCATTCTGTGCAATTCTAGTCCTCTCTGCAACTCTGTTACTGTCTCCTACTCAACCTTTATTTCAGACCTTGATGGTTCATTCTTGTCCTTTGTGACAATATTCCCATCTTGCTCTGTGGTTATTATAACATTCATGCTAACAGCCCCTCTCACCACTTGCTTCCCATCTTCTTTCTTCGACCTCCTATTCCAGACTGACCCTCCCACCTGTATTGGACAGTCTTTTGATTTTGTCTATCAAAGAACTGGTCTGTTGCAGACAACATTGCTGTGAAATACCCTCTTGTCTGACCATCACATCATCTTCACCATTCCACATAAGCTACCTTCCTTGTGCTCTGCCTCTTGATCTTTCTATGAGCTGCAATCCACTCACTCAGCAGCTTTCTCAGAAGCACTGTTCCTCTTCTGTTGACTCCTCAGACTCATCAGTTTCTACCTTCAATGCATCTCTGTCCTTAATTCTTGTCTCCCTTGCCCTGATAGCCCAATAAGTAATTCACTTATCTAACCCTGGCTCCTACTTTCCAGTCCAGTTCTCCATTCACGTTCTCATGAAGCTGAATGTGTCTGGAGGAGAAGTAAAGTATTAGCTGACTTTTGCACGTTAAGTATTTATCCTTTCCTATTTTAAACCAATTAAATTTTCTGATGCTGTTTGGCTTAAAAAACATAATAGTCCTAACCAATGTAGTGAAAACCCTTTTATTAAGGCACTATTTTATATTTGGGACTATAGGAAAAAGCATCTTGCCCCCAACATATCTCCTGCATCCTCCTTCCTAGGGCAACCTTGGTTCACACCAGCTGAATCCCCTACAGCATTCCAAATTTGGAGAACAGCATCCTTATCCAAATTGTCAGACATATCTTACAGGAGAAACCTTCTAACTAAAGCCCAGTTAGAAAAAAAGACACAAGGCTCAATACCTTGGTACAAATACCTGGAAGTTCAGCATTTAATAGGCATTTCACAAATCAAACAATCTTACTATATCTCATACTGATTTTGAAAATATTTTAATCAACCACGATCAAAGAATTAAAGGTCTTATTTCAAAAATATATGCAATATTATTAAATCTGGAATTAAAGACTTTACCTTCCTATGCAAAGGTATGGCACTCCGATTTGGGGATTGAACTATCTATACAACAATAGCAAACTATATGGTCCTCTCAAGCTTTAACTACTAAATCTATAAATATCCTGCAACAAAACCATAAACTCATGTCTAGATGGTACCTGACACAGGTGCAACTCAACCACACCAATAAAACATACTACCTGTTATGTTGGAAAGCGTGTGGGTATTCAGGAACTCAAATGCATTGCTGGTGGGAATGCAATGTAATAAAAACCTTTTGGCGCAAGGTATTGTCTCATATCAAGCTTTTGACAGGATATACAGTTCCGGGAAAACCCAAATGTAATCTCCAGAACAATTGGTATGATGAAACCGTTTCATATTCAGGAAGGGCTTTAATTGCTTTGTCGGTGGCAAAATCATCAATTGCACAAAATTGGAAGATAATGCCTCCTTCTCTGAAACAATGGCATGCAAAGATTTGGGACCATTTTATAATGGACAACATTTTGGTAGGCTTATCAGATTCAGATCTTTATACAGCTCATAAGTTATTTTTTAGTAAATGGAATACAGTACTAGAGAAGCTAGATAAGAATCCTATTAGTAAACATTATTATGAAAATCATAAACATTATAGTCTTATGTTATCTCCTTAAGTATTTAATTTGCAAAATTTGAACACTTTGTACAGTGATCGCCAAAAGATCATTTATGTGGTATACCCTGTACTCTATGAA